CAGCGCCGGGTGCAGGTTCGAATAATCTACCATTTCGAACCTTACTAACAATTTCAAGCCCATGCTACTACAGGAGTGGGACCTTCAGGAGGAACTCACGACGCACGGAAATCAAGCTCACATCTTCCTGGAGCACGGGATTACAGCTGGATTTGCAGAGGCCGGACGCGAGAAAAAAAGGGCTTAGGCTAGAAATGATCGTGTCAAAGACTGTAGACTTCCTTGACGACTTCGGGCACTGCCAAACTCCAACTACCTTAGCTGTTGGCCCGAAACAGTCGGTATTGAATTTATAACCGAGGTTACATGGAGGGTCCGGAACCCTACAAGCCCCAAACCCATTAAGAAATCTTATACTAATCTCAACCTTAAACATTAAACCCCAAACCCAAGCAAGAATCCTGTGAGGTGGCTGGGTGGATCGAGCAAGATCACTGGAAGGAAACAGACCTGGTGGCCGGTTGCACGCCGCTTTGGGCTTGCGTGGCCCTGTTCCAGGAAACGGCTTTTGAAACTTTGGGTGGTGCTACGCGGGCCGTCGTCATTAGAATTCGTGGTAAAGTTTCAGAAGGCTGCTGAGGCTCATCGGAAACTGCAAGTTTAAGCTCGTTTCCGGGAGGGGGCCTCTTTGTAAGAATTGCGCAAAGGGATGGTAGGCCCTGGTAGGCCTTGTTTTTTCTACCGTCGTATTATGAATACCACAACCCTGGCCGCCCGAACCCCTGAAACCGACCCGATTCCGTGAGATAGAGCGAAATGAGAGTTTCCGAAAATTCGTGTACCTTATTCTGGGGTCCTTATAATAAGGATCCTACTATTTAGGGTGCTATATTAAGGTCCCCTTCATTCGGAAACTCCCACATGAGGGGCCCTGAGTCGCAGCAAATCCTGCCAGGCGCTTCCCGACATGTCTCTCGACAGGATTAGGGTTTAGGGTTTAGGGATTAAATTAGGGTTTAGGGTTTAGGGATTAAATTAGGGTTTAGGGATTAGGGTTTAGGGTTTAGAGTTTAGGGCTTGGCGTGTGTTTGTAGAACTTGGAATGTTACAGTCCTGAAGCCCGACGGCACAAACTCTATAAACCTTTATAACCCTCAAATCCTGCAGCCTGGTTTTAGGGCCCTGAATCGCTATATCGGACGAAGCCCGGAGCCTTGAACCGAGGCCTTTTCTCGTCCGACAGAACATGGCCTTGTTGCAGTTTTACCAGGCGTGGAGCGAGTTGCCACTTTACTGGTCTCTGCTCCATGGCTTCATGGCATCTCCAAAGGTGACGATTCCTGGACACGTTGAGAATTGCGCTTTCAGTTTGCAGGCTGCAGTCCGGCAGAGGGCTTTGGAGTTATAAGCACAATGGTGGCACGAGTTACTTTATGTCCCCCTTACCCCGCTGGAAACCAGCTGTGTGCTATTAGGGCGTGAATATGATGAACAGTTCAGTTTATAAGACCTACAACACTGTAGTCACTGCAGGATATTGTAGCTCGAGGCATCTCCTATCCACCCAGGATTTCGTGGAAGCATCGCGTGGGTGCCGAGCAAGTGTTTGACCAGACCGGCGCACGGCCTGCTTACGTGCCTCTCATCAGCTTGCACACGGAGGGCTTCAAGCACCAGCCGCGCAAGGAGGATTCACAGGGTTGGGACGGGTTACACATGCCCCCCTCATACACTCCTAAGCACGTAAATTTTAAAAACCCAAAGACCTTTCAATGAAACAGATCCTCGAGGAGGTGCTGGTGCACAGATGCAGCCACAGAGGCTTTGTACAATTCCTGGGCTTCTTGAAGACCGCAGCCGCAGCGATCCCGACAGTAAAGCTGGACTTCCTATCAGAGCTGCAACAGGTGCACAAGGAGCCTCTGGATTGGCATGGCTTTACCGAGTACCATGCCCTGGTGCTTATTCCTGATGCCCCGAACAGCATCAGCTTCGCAGATGCTTATGCCACTTGGATTTGTTTGAGGAGCCTAACAAACCCCTTCACCCGAAGCCCTGATCTACTGACCTTGTGCGCTTAATCGCGTCGGAATTGCTGTCGGTCATGTATGCGATACAGGGTGTAGCTTCGTTGACCCTTTCCAATACACTTGCTTGAGGAAGTCTTCTTATAACTCTTCGAGTCTCATAACCTGGAAGAATATTTCTCAGTTTTTAATCCTACTCTTCTTCGGCGCTACAGCCTTTTTGCGGCCTTATCCTATTCCTTCAGCCCGAGTCCGAAACCCCTGAACTTTCTATTACTTCCGAAGAAAACCCACAAACCCCAAATACGTCAGAGCCTTCATGTCACTCTGTTGCCCTAGAGCCCTAAACCCACAGAACATCCAAAGCCGTAAATCACAGTAGAAGCACGGAACCCTACACAACACGAAGGGCGAGGCCCCCCAAGCCGTACACATCTACAACCACCGATCCAACCCCTTCCTCACATAAGCCAAGGCCATGCATATCCCGATCTTCCTTCCCAGCGAGCCGGAGATCTGGACATGGATATGGTCGCAGTCGGACCCGCCGCGGGGCGTGAAGGTTTTCTACTGGCTTTCAAGAGTTTGACTAGCTAATATAGGGGGGTTGAAGAGGGTTTGTGGGGTGTGCACGCAGTTTCATGATGGTGTTCGCTCCGTGCTCTCCTTGTGAGGTGTATACCTCCTGTAGTCTGTTGCTGTTCCGCCCGCTTGCAGTACTGCCTGCTTTCTCAACATTTCCAGCAGTACGCGTCATGAAAAGGTACCTAAAGCCCAAAACCCTGATAAAGTTCGCTCCTTACAGTTTCTTAAGGGATCTAAGACTTATAAGATCCCTACTACATTACACGAGCGCCCTGACAGACCCTTGTAGACTCAAAAACCCTAAACCCTAAACCCTAAGCCTTAAACCCTAAACCCTAAACCCTAAACTCAACGCAAGGTACGCAGGGCCAGGCTCGGCTCTGAAGCAGCAGCGCGCTCCTTGGAGCCTCTCTGAGGAGTCACCGGCTTGGTGGCAAGCGCTGCAAGGAGGGTGGGATCAGTGGGATCGGTTTTGGGGGGGTCTAGGGGTTTTGGGGGTTTAGGGATTCAGAGTTTCGGGTTTGGGGTTTAGTTAGGGTTTAGGGGTTTTGTGGGTCTAGGGGTTTAATATAGTGGCCTGGCCAAATCATCGCATCCATTTAAAGAGTCCGAATAAAAACCCGGGGGTTTCTTGATCAGGTTCCTACGTTAGGGGTTTACGGTTTAGGGTTCTGTTTCTGGCAGTCATCAAGTCCGGTTTCAAAAAAGGGTTCTGTTTCAAAGGCCAACTTGTTTGAGATTTAAACCCGGACATGGAGGACGGGATGAAGGGTTTTCGGGACCACTGTGTTTCAAAGGCCAACAATTTTCGGGAAAGAAAGGATCTAGGGGCAACAGTTGAGGAGGGTTTACAACCTGCTATGTTCTGGGGGTGGTTTTGCTATGTGGGCCCGTTTGTGTGTGGCCGCTTGTTTGTAACAAGTAACAATTATAATTGTGAATAAGGGCTCATAGCCTACTGTTTGGTGGGTGTGCTCTGTTTCCTAGCCCCTGCCCATCCTCAAAAGCACACGGTTTTTCTAGAGCTACCCCTGGTAGGAACCCTAAAGGCCCCCTCTCCAAAGAAAAGAAAGGGCACCACTCAACGACCCGAAGGAGCGGAGGTGAAGCACCACATCGGAGTTCCCAGACTCTGCTCTATTGAGGTCTAGGGGTTTTGGGGGTTAGGGGTTTTGGGCTTTGGGCTGTAAAGGTTGATTTTTTCGGGTGTTCAATTTAGTGTTCGTGGGCTTTGAGTGTTCTGGGGAATTCAGACTTTCGGGTGTATCGCCCTACAGTTGTTGATGGTATTCCAGGATGCTCCCTATTTGTTGTTTCCTTGGGTAGCAAAGCAAGAACTTGAATACCCCTGAACCCTTTTAATCGCTTAACCTAAATCCCAGACGCTCAGCTCCACACCCTAAGCCCCGTGTCATGCACCGGCGCCCGAAGTCTCCGAAGAACTGCAGCAGCCAAGGCTTTCGATCACCTGCAAGGCAAATTTCCTATCGAGTTTCTTCTGGAGCGTGCGGCTGGGCCCGGCAATGCCAAGGATGTAGTATGGATAGTATGGGCGGTTTGAGTAATACATTGTATCAGTATACTCTGACTATGAGGGCATTTACATTCTTTGACATGATGTGTTTTCCTTTCCTTTGTAACTCAAACTTGTGTTCCATGACGAGAACCCAGGCGTACTGGTATCAGTACACAGAGTACTACCTCCTGCCGCACACGCGACATTTCAGGGGCATCGCGGATCTACTGGATCAGCTGCAAGACTACACAAGAGAGACCCGGCTTGCAGTCAGCAAGTGATGAGAGCTGTTTATGCATTGCCCGAAACTCATATGGCTTTGTTATCATGACCACTTCCTTTAGTGTCGTTTCACTTGTCAGACCTCGAACCATATGCCTCGCCTGGATTGGCCGAGTGTGAGCGCCGAAACCTAGCAATCTTCTAATATAAGCCAACAGTCGCATGATCTTGCTATGGCCCTCCGGGCTCTTCGTGCTTACTCTTCGGATGAAGGGTTTAGGATGTGTTCGTTCTGCATATCAAAAATCCGCTCTCTCAGATTGTGGCTTTCTGGGTGTGAGTTCCACCAACAAGTTTGAGGTTTAAGGTGGTTTATAAGTGTGTTACGCAGGTCCGTCAGTGATATGTGCCACAGCCCTAGAGCCCTCAAGCACTACACTCTAGTAGTCAGGAGGATGCGCTGGGGGACAGCCGTCGCATCGCTATCGAGCACGCCAAGAGGGAGGCGTACGTGATCAGCTGGATGGGGACGACGATTGCAAATGCCATCGCTGGACGATGAAAAAGCTCTGTTTCAAATTGCCTGTTCACTATTCCAAGAGAAACCCTGCGCCCGAACAGACTACCGGTTAAAGCTAGCAACAGCTGCATTTCAAGTCCTGTAGGCCTTGGGTCTACACGATGGCCTTAATACCTCTTTTTCTGAAGAGGAGAAGCTGCCACCGGAGAACTTCCCCCCGCTTTGGGCGCGTCGGGGCCTCGACTTTCCAACGGCCTCGAGCTTGTAAAGGAGAGTTCCCTTATAGGAACCCTTAAGGGCTCATTAAAGATCCACGAGGGTTCTTATAAAGGGTATGTTCTGGGTTCCGATGAGAGGTGCTATAATGAAGGGTTGCCGTAAGGGGCACTAAAAGCTCTTTGATGGAAGTCCAGAGTCTAGAGAGATATAGGGCGCATCCTCAAACCACTGAAACCTAAGGACTAGGGCCCCTAAACCCTAAACCAATAAACCCTAAACCCTAAACCAATAAACCCTAAACCCTAAACCAATAAACCCTAAACCCTAAACCAATAAACCCTAAATTTGACTAGGGTGTAGGGCTTCGGGTCTTCAGGCGTTTGCTTTCGGATTGAAGGTTCGGAGCGAAGGTTTCGGAATCCCAGGCAGATATGGGGGGGTTTCCGAAAATCAGGGGTAGCTTATTTGGGGTTCTTATAATTAGGATCCTACTATTTGGGGTACTATGTTAGTGTTCCCCATTTTCGGAAACTTCCATATCACAGCATGCTGTTAAACCTATCGAACCTCTTCCTGAACATGTAGGTTTGTGTGTTCAGTCATCGTGTCGCAAAAGGGCCTACCGCTCAGGGTTGAGAAGTTTGCTCTAAGCCGTAGGCCCAGGAGGATGATCTTGCATTCGGGTACTGGCAGGTGTGTAAGATGTCTGCATGGCTCCTTGGAAGTAGGCTGTCCCTTTGGGGATACGGATACTTGTGCTAAGAATGCCAAGCCTTGCCTCAGCCAGTTCCTGTCAGGAAAAGCTCGTCTTCTCACCGCAGAGCCATGAAAACCGGCACCAGGATCAGAAGTGAAATCTTGAAACTAAAACTAAGCACACAATCTTAGCGCAGACCGTGGCGAGCACCCACACCTTCACGCAGGAACCCGGGACACCGTGTGTTCGACGGGAGGTTTTGCCTTCCACTGCTTAAGGAAACTTCCTTGTTCCACCCTCTATTACTATCTACGTACGATTTCTATAGCGGGATGCATCATTCTAGACTGCCGCAGAGCTCCTTCCCGATAGGTGTGGATTGCGCTGCAAAGCCATGCCTTTTCAGTCTTTTGCTGAAAATAGTGAATTCCATGCACCAACCCTAAGCCCCTATGCGGGCCTCGTCCTTGCTCCGTAGGAGGGAACAATCCCATTAGAACAAAACCCTACCTATATAAACCCCCCAGAGAGCCCAATAACCCTTAACTAAGGAATATGGCTTATAAATCATATTATGAAGCCCTATATAGGAGTTTCCGAAAATAGGGGTACCTTATTTTGGGGTTCCTTATAATAAGGATCCTACTATTTAGGGTACTATAATATTAGGGTCCCCTATTTTCGGAAACTCCCATATAAGTTAAGCCACATTCCTTAATTAAGGGGAATTGGGCTCTCTGGGCCCATGAAGCTCCCTGGATGCTTCCACCCCTCCGATCCTTGCAAGGCGGCAGCGAAGCATACCCGGAGCGAGCCACCAAGATGCAAGAAAGTGATGTAGGAGCCAGAATAATGACCTATGTTTTTCCTTAGGTTTCCTTAAATTATAGTATAATATGCTCCGAAACCCTCTTCTATCAGTATTAAGGCGTCTAGATGATGGACGAGCTCGGTCCCAGAACTTTTCGGCCCAGGGGTTTCCGCATAAAGCAGAGCCCGGGGCTGGGAGCAGCTAAAGTCCTGATAGCCCGGTGAAATTGAAAAGAATGCTATAGGGGCTTCAATAATTAGGATATATAAGATACAGGGATATACTATAAGGGATCTATAAGGCTACTTTAGGGGCCTAAATAAGTACCTATACTATTTTGGGGCTTCCTTGCTGAAATTATAGTATAATGGGCCCCAATACAACTGGTCATAGGCTCCATAGTTGTACTTTTTGGGGGGGTTACCTGGTAGGATTCTACAAATGAACCACAAAAGGAACTACTATGGAGCCTCTAGCTGGCCATAAGATCACGGCTCAAGCTTGAACCAAAAACTTCTCGACAGTTGCGGGTTTAGTGTCCAATGATGCTTGCTTGGGGCTTGGCAAACTGCCTTCGGATTATACTTGACCACGAACATCACGGTAAGAGTAGCTCGATGATGCTCATAGCTTTGCGAACCCTAAAACCTGAGCGCCGAAACCTTCGGGACGCTGTGTCCGCGCAGCAGACAGTGTCGTGCGTAGAGCTCGTTAATGAGTGTGCAGCGGTCAATGGGCCGTTGCAGTGGCCAAAGTGCTGCCGTCGTGCCAGGAACCTCGGCCAAACACTTCCGAGTGTGAGGGCTGAAACTCTCAACACCCTAGAGCCCTCAACCCGAAACCCTAGAGTCCTGAATCCCTAAACCCTAAGCCCGAAATCCTGAAGCCCTGAAGCCCGAGATTTAGAGGAAGCCGTGCTCCGGCTTCTTGGCCCTCAAGCTGATGACCTTCTGCGGCAGGCTTTGGATTTCATTTTAAAGGGTTTAGGGTTTAGGAAAGGGTTTAGGGTTTAGGGTTCAGGAAAGGGTTTAGGGTTTAGGGTTCAGGAGGCTCATAGAGGGGCCAGACTAGCTCGTCGTAGTCATTTAGCCGTTGTAATACTGGATAGGATCTTGAGGTTCCATTGTAGTATTCTGCTGTTATGAGGAACCCTGTGATATAATATTACACTATTTCTTAGTGTGCCTTCTTATAAAACTAATTACTCGAGAAACCTCCAGAACCTGTTATGGGAGATTGAGGAGGACGTCAGCAGCTTCGGAAATGGTGTGCGGCTTCGTGTCCCTACAAGGTTGTGGTGTCATTTAGTTCTGCTATGTAGCAGAGCGTTAGCAGAGAGGCTTAAGTGCGACTACCGCTTTGCCCGACTATTTGGCATCGCATGTCGCAAGGATTTTAGTATCTTGTGTTTTGTTGTTGTGCTTGGCTTCGTCGTCTTCGAAGAGGTTTACAAAGCTTTCTGGAGACTATCTATCGTTTTGTGATCTTCACAAAAGTACTAGCTCTCGTCACTCTTACAACACACACCTAGTCGATGCGAGGCGTGAGGGCCCGGCCCATTCCTGAATTCCTCAGTCGGCTTGGCCGTTATACCTGGGCCAGGAAGGAGTCTTATCAAACCTTTTGGTACTTGTCATCCCTGAACCCTTCTTTGAGGGTCGACATCTATGGTACTTGTAACTTGTCTTGCCAAGTCCACCAACACGAAGCGTAGGATGCCAAAACCCACGAACCTCAAACGAGCTTGCGCCGCAGGCCGGACGCGACCCTGGTGCACGAAGCTTCACCCATCCACTGGCTTGGGGTGCGAGGGGCCTTCTTTGAGGGATGTAGTGCTGTGCATTGATAGCTCGGGGCTTGGCATCAGAAGGTGCAAGCGATCTACCGGAAATGACCCGATTTCCAATGTCATGCAACCGGTAATGCCAAGCTGCGCTTGGGCCCCAGGGCCCTAGCTCTCGCCCCGATATCTATGAACAGTTGGGGTTTATGTAGGGTTGATGCTGGTAATTTCACAGTCTGCGCGAGCTGCCGGTGCCTGCTGTGGGTTGTGGGTAGGCCAGGCAGTCAAGAGGAACGCGAAGCCTGCGTACATCCAAGCAGATCCAAAGACAACACCATAAACTCACACATGTCCCGCTATCTGACTACAAACTCTAATCTCCACCAACCGTAACACATACTGGCCGCTCGTCCTAACAAACACACAAAACAGAACAGCCCTGGATAGCCCTTGATTTTTGTTGCAGGCAACCGTCGTTCTTGCGACCTTGCACGTCGAGCTGCGCTGCGCACTTCTGCTGTCAGCCGGATAGTTGCCATGACATGTTCAATTTGAACATTCAATACCCGACATATGAACTTTTCATGTTCCGCTAAATGAGCAGGATTCTCAAGGCTTGACCACGTATGTGGTATGCCTACCGATACTTGCACGACCTTGCACGTGGTATAATTACTAGTAAATATGTGTGTGTGTGTCTATATATATATATATATACACGTATGTTTTATGGCCGCATGTGTAATCTACATATGCACATCCATCTAACAAAACATATACATTTTCATATACATATTCAGGCACACATATGTATATAGTTACATATATATATATATACATGGAGAGAGAGAGAGAGAGAGAGAGAGAGAGAGAGAGAGAGATCGAGTCTCTCACTATACCATGTGTATATGTACGTATAAATACACATAATGGCGTACTTTCATCATATATACTTACCTTGCCTTACCTTACCTTGCATGACCCTACATTGCAATGCATTAAACTTACGTACACACACTCGAGAAGTTCGCGGGTTAAGGGCTGAGGCCTGAGCAGGAGCTGCCGCCAAAGCCGTGATTTGAAGTTTGGCGTTCAACGTCTAGGCAAAAGTTTGCGGCTTAGGGTTTACATGACTTAGATAGGGTTTCAGGACATGTTTGTACTACCAGTCTACAGGGGGTTGACGTGATATCCGCCGAGTTTTGCATTGAGGGGGTGGATGCCGTTCATTTGTTAAAGTCCAGGCCTCATAGTCAAGTTCTCGCGAGTGTTTGTGTGGCCATCAGCTTGAAAATGTAGGACTTCTTGCCGGCAGTTGGCAAGCTACGGTGCCAGCTGAGTTAGACCAGTCGTCGTGAAGCCTTTCCTGAATTTTATAAAGTTGAAACCCAATATAGCCCTAGCCCAAAATTAGCCCAATTGCTAAACCAGTAGACCTAGGTGTGCCGCAGCATGGAAGCGTAGGCAGTAGAGTATCGAACACGGAGACCTCGTTTGGCGAGTCCGAGTTGCGAGAGCGTAAACCATTAGACCCCCCAAACCCTTCCATTGTAAGCAGCCAAAGTTGATGAAGACCCAACTCCTGAACCGGACTATTGTAACATTTGTGAGCGATCCGACTGGTTGCTCCTGCTGAAAATCCTCTGGAAAGCCATGGTTTTGTCGTCGTACTGCCCCGTTAAGACCGTTTAAGAACGGCCGCACCAACTTAGGAACTGAGTAGGTAATACGTGCGCATGACTGCGCTGATGACCCGACATGCTTTAAATCTTTTGGGTTCACATTATCCCACCTGCTCTGCTGCACACCACGCACATGCCCTGCAGCCGTGTGCTTGTGGCAACTAGCGTAACTCGCATTTGTTCAGGGCGATGGCCATTCCTGCAGCACTCCAGTCACCGAAGGGATTAGGCTTAGTCCTGTCTTTACTGTACAGGATGGTGTACAGGCTATCGCGGACTGTTTTAATACAATGTCGATGGTGGCTGCCTGCGAGATGTGTACCATGGTCTTTGAACATGCTTCCACAGGCAATGGCAGCAGGATTGAAATTCAGCGCAGTTGGTCCGACCGTGAGGGGTTGCACCGGAACCCGAAATCGTACATCCCTGAGCCCTCCAACTTGTCACCCGCAAGGGTCAGTGTTCCGTAAACTTCTCCACCCTTACCTTCCGACAATTTTTCCAAGCTGCCCAATCAATATGCTGTTATTCACACTTTGTCACAAGGACTCCCAAAGCGAGGCCTGAGTTTCTCGAAGGAGCATTACGGGTTACTTCCATGCTGCTTACTCAACAGTTTTGCAGGCTTCTGTGGAGCCCAGCACGTCCGCCGTACTCAGATCTGTTTGCAAGAACGGCGCTTCAATGTCATATTGCACTAGAGCACCGTATCACACCATACCATATCTCACCGTATTTGTTATCAATTTCAAAGTAGCACATCACAGACTACAACACATTGCATTATTATATGTTACAATATAGATTCTCACTACGTATTATCAAATAAAACCCTAACATATCAAGACATACGCTAAAACGTGATAGAACAAACTTTGGCATCGTATGTGTATACTGACAATTAGACTTATACTTACACACATATACATATACATACACATATCGCTGTACATATACCTTTGTACATATGCGAGTGCATATTCTTATACACATATACAATCACATATACATACATGCATACAGACAGACAGACGGACGGACAAGACACAGACATACAGACGTACGGTCATACCGACATAAACATAGGCATACACATACACCCACACCTACACCTACACGTGCATATACACTTAATCATGCACTTACACAGAGACACACATGCGCATACCGTTTTACTCCACATAGTCTTTACATACACGTACACATGTGTATATACATATACATGCACCTGTAACTATACCTGTACATATACACATACACGCATACGCAGACACATACACATACATATTCCGACATACATGCATGCATACATACATACATCCACACATCATATTTCTATAGAATTCGACATTATTTTGAATTTCATTTTGTCGTCTTATATGATTTCGTGCTGTGCTTATTGGCATGAATATTGGTATTGTATTTTACTTTACCGTGTTGGTTATATTTATCCTTGTGTATGTTGAGGGAAACTGAAACACACACATATATGTGCAATGACATACGTTAATGTAGTGTAGCCTGTGCTAGCCAGATCGGAGCTGATATTATGAAATAACATGACAGAACACAATGTGACTGACCATAACATCTCTTGATATGTAGAACTCTGCTAAAACTTCATATCCTTCCACAGCATACCATATCATATCCCGTTCCTAACTTTGATATTATTGTTTCGTGTTTTGCGTTAAGTCTTGCGTACCCATGATCGCGTTGCTATTGTCGTTATCAGTGTTGCTATGAGTGTTACTGTTCTTCTTTGTACTGTGACTGTGACTTTTCTGACCGTGAATATTACTGCTGTATTTGTGTTTGAGCTATCATTACGTACTGTCATATGAGTCCCATTGTTAGTGTTATCCGTATTCTCATTGCTGTTTTCTGTTGCAGAATGATGTCGAACGTCTGCAAGAAGGCTAATAATCACTGGCTTTGCGATGTACCCCAATACTTAAACGGTATACATACATACATACATACATACGTACAAATGTATATATATATATACACATCTATATACATATAGATATATATATATATATATGTATATGTATTTACATGTGCACAGTATACATGTGTATTATTTACATGTGCACAAGTATACATGTGTATGTGAAAAATTATAGATATATATGTATATATATATGTATATATATATATATGTATATATATATATATTTATTTGTTTATTTATACACACGATACCCGAAACAGAAAGCCCAGGCAAAGCGGGGTTTCGCCCTTGTGGTTGCGGCGCTCTCCGTTTGGCGCTCCTTCGGCGACCACCAGCCTCGACAAACGACTTTTCGGGAAAGCAGGAAAAATGCATTGCCTGTCTTGGATAATTCCCTTATGATTAAATAAAAAGAACGCTAAAAGGGACCCTGAGTCCGAGAACCCGAGAACCTTAGTTGGGGTTTAAGGCTAAGGTTTTTTTTTTCAAGTTTCGGGGCTGTAGGGGTTGGGGCTTCGGGGGTGCAAGGTATAGGTACGGGGTTACGGTGGCGGGGGTGTGAGTTTCGTGGTTTGCGTTCCGTTCGGCACACGTAGGCTTTTGGGTTTGGGGTCTCGTGATTTGGCGTCGTTGATTTCAAGCTTGCCGAGTGCCGAGTGGAGCTTATAGCATAGGGTATGGGCATCTTATTTAGATGTGATACGGACGGCGCAGGCCTTCCAAAACGATCGGAATTTCAGAGCTGCAGGTATTAACTTGGCTGGTTGTGCCCTCAGATCCCAAAGTCCCACAGCCCCAACCGTAAACCTTAAAGATTATGCCTGGCTGGCAGGCCTTACATAGACTCAGACGATTGAGCAGACAGAGAAGGAGCTAAACAACAGTTATTCCAAGACCCCTAAACCCTAAACCCTGACCCAGCGCAGGTCCCTCGTCACGGCCATGCCGAGCGGAAAGCAATGGCTGTGGCCTTGGATCTAGAAAAGCTCCCGAGTCAAACACCAACTTAAGTTCTCACTCCGACAGCTCATTAGTCTCCAAGCAACGATTCCTAAGCGTTTGCGTTTTAAGCAGCACTATTCTAAAAACCTTTTTTGTAGTCCTGATATAGTTACACTGCAAAACACCCCCAAATCCTACTCTGATGACCATATATTGCACCCAGCTTGGGAAAGCCGAATTTACGGTTTCCTCTCTTTTTGCTTGCTCTGTCTTTTTGCTTGCTCCGGGCTCCACGCGTTTATCATCGCTCACAACTGTATCGAGCAAGGAGCGAAGAAACTGGATAACCCTTCAAATTCGTTAACGCAAGCTCAACACCCAGATCTCGGTCCTGTCTTGTTTGTACCGTACTTACCGCCCTCAGGGTTATATAACGTATAATATAAACGTGGCACCGCAGCCCTGGACAGGCCACACGCCGACTATGGCGTTTCCTCGCTTCGCGATGACGCGATACCGGGCCCCCCCTGACCCATCGCTCCCCACAAGGGCGAGTCAGCTACGGGGTTATTGTATGTAGAATACCTTACTTTGCGCTATCCATATTCGGGTCCCCCTTTGTTCGTGCGTTTCGGGTCCCTAGGACACACTCTCCCCACCAGGGGTCTAGAAACCACTAACCCTCGACTCTGCTGCAATGGCTGTCACTGCGGCGCGCCTGCCCTGTGCGTGCTGACAATCTGCCTGGGACTCTACATTGGGCAGTACCTTTCGTGAAGGGCCACCCCATGTCGGGCTGCTGCCGGTAGTATTCTGCTGCTATCCAATGGGCACATCATGGGCCACCCCAACCTGGGCTGCTGCCGTGCTTGCCACTGCCAGGGACCATGGATTACACAATTGGCTTTGGGCTGTTTCCATACGTGATGTGGGGATATAGCTTGAGCCATGGAACTTGCGAATTTTGGTTCACAATTCTGCATGGTGCTGCATGTGATCTCGGAATTCACGAATTGGTTGCTGGTTACATTCGCTGGCTACATCCCCTGGGCTGCAGGAATTTTGAGCTGCAGTATATGCTCCTTGTGAAGGGCCACCCCTGTCGGGCTGCTGCCGATGGTATTTTGCAATTCTGCATGGTGCTGCACGTGATCTTGGAATTCACGAATTGGTTGCTGGTTACATTCGCTGGTTACATTCCCTGGGTTGCAGGAATTTTGAGCTGCAGTATATGCTCCTTGTGAAGGGCCACCCCTGTCGGGCTGCTGCCGATGGTATTCTGCTGCTACAGCCTCTACAATGGGCATGTCATGGGCCACCCCAACCTGGGCTGCTGCTGTGCATGCCACTGCATGAGCTCATAAAATGGATTTGGGCTGTTTCTGTGCATGATGCTGTGAGAGAGCTTGGTCCATGGAATTCACGAATTGGTGCTGGTTTGCCATTCTGCATGCTGCTGCAAGTGATCTCGGAATTTACGATTTGGTTGCTGGTTACATTCCCTGGGTTACAAGCATTCTGAGCAGCAGTGTATGCTCTGTCGAACTGTGTGCAGGCCTGCCCGTGACACCTACAACACGCCTGTAGGTTCACAGTCGCTGGCTCTCGGAGTGCTGGGCTGGTGGATGTCGTTGCACCTCGTGTTGCCAGTGACGCTTTGCGGGCCTTGTTCACTGCAACAGGCTGGAATGTATACAGAATGAGGATGTTTGTTGGCCATGGTGGAATGTGGGCTATTGACCCGCTGAACTAAGCCCTGTAGACCAGCCTGTGGTCTTGTAGCTTTTTGTGAGCCGTGGTGACTTCAATGAGTCGAGATGAGATGTGTAGTGCCTGAGTGTTAGTGTTAATGTCGACCCCGACTAATGTGTTGGGAGGGGCCAATGTGCTTTCGCTGGTACTGGAATCCTCGCTGTGGTTCGTCCGAGAGTGAATGCTGATAATATATCCTTCAGCTCAGGAGTCTAACTCTAGTTACAGCTTAAGCCCCTCCTTAACCAAACCCCAATAGGAGTGCCTGGGAAGTCCTCCAAAAACTGCTTTCTTACAGGGCTCAGGGTTATCTGCTACTCTTCCTACTACTACTCCTCCTACTACCACTACTCTTCTACTGCTCCTGCTCCTGCTCCTTCTCTGACTGCTGCTGCTACTGCTCCTGCTACTACTACTACTACTACTACCACTACTACTACTGCTGCTGCTGCTACTACTACTACTACTACTTCTACTTCTACTTCTACTTCTACTTCTGCTGCTACTTGACGACGACCATTACTGCTTCTTCCCTCGCATCGCATGATCTTAACAAGACTAGTTGTGCTTCTGACAGTAAAATGATAGTAGCAGTGATAATGGTGGTACCATGAATTTCATGTTGCCCAAGACCCCGCAACACAACGTGTTCAAAGGTGTAGAACCTTTACGGACAGATTCATAAAGCACCACTTCCCAAATTCTTTGATGCTTTCGAGGGCGCCGAGAGAACAAACCTCAAACCTGAAACTTTCGACCGACAAGGAGACTGTACATAAACAAGGCCTAAGACCTTCAAGCCTTAATCCCTCAAACCTGAAAGCTTCACTTTTGGCACTCGGAAAGTTCAAGGTCGCATTGCTCCGCAGCGCCCTTCGGGAGCAAGGCTCACATGCAGCCGGTGCCTCAAAGGGGCTTCAGAAAACTTGGGATCAACAAAAGAAGTATTTCTATGTGTATACACATACAGACAAACAAACATACAGACACACAGTCATATATATATATATATACACATATAGGTGGGTTCTTATGACAACCGGGTGTTTGAGACCCGGAGAAATCAGAATCCAATGGAAATAAATCATTAAAAACGGGTACATTCATATGGGTCCTTATAAGAAGCGTTCGGGCACTCGTGAAACTCAGCTAGGGTATGACGTGCTTCCCCGAGACTTTAACACTGTCCAAATTGGTCGAGGGTTGAGGTTTCGTTTAAACCCTAAACCCCTAAACTCCTAAACCCTAAACTTCTAGAAATTCAGGGCTCAGGGCTTTGAGGTTTGGGGTTTAGGGTTCAGGTTTACAAGTTTAGGGCTTAGGATTAGGGATTTAGGGTTTAGGGGTCCCATGGGTTGGGCAATCGACTTCAAAGTCGAGGAGTTAAGGTTTCCAGCTGGGGACTGGTTTGTGACTTACTTAGAGCTTCGTAGATATGGGAGTTTGAAAAATAGAGGGTACCCCAATGAATATACAGTACCCTTTATTGTTTCCGAAAATAGGGTACCCTTATACAGTACCCTAAATTCTAGCATCCGAATTAATTATAAGGACCCCTACCCTAATTTTCTGAAACTCCCCTTTGAAGGAGGGGTGCATTGTTGTCGGCTTCGAAATTCAAGCACACGGGATGAGGGATACGAGGATTTACTTCGGGACGCCTGAAAGCCTGTACCTGGCACAGGCCTGCACTTGAATTGACACCATGTGAGCTTCAGCGCAAGGCTGGAGGCCTCGATCTTTTGGAGTCCAACTTGTCGCAAACACGGTGCAAAACAAGTGCCTCAATTACAGTAGAAGATCAACATCGTCAAAGACGGTACATCATGACTCACCCTAAAGCCTGAAACTTTCAAGAGTCGTGAAACCCGAAGAAATGAACCCCGAAGCCCCCAATCCACAGCCCATTTCTTAATAACACAAATCCTACGCTGCAATGTTATACACCGGATTTTCTGAGGACTGCCATGTTGTGATGACAGCTTCGGGTGTTGGGCATGATTTTGAGCTGCACCCCCTGCAGACTCTGAGTTCTGTGGTGATGGGACTCGCCACGGTTTGCGGTCGATTCTGACGGGCAGCGCACAAGAAACTCCCAAACCAACAACAATGTACAAATCTCACCTAAACCCTAAGCCGAAACTTGAACAGCCTGCAAGACCCAGCGTTTTGAGGTCTGGTTGGAGTGCTGCAAAAAGTAAGCCGGTAACACGAAACTGTTTGAGACCATACCGCTGAGGGTCTGGGACTATCAAGGTCCGTGTAAAGCCCAGAGCCCAGGACGCTGCGACCACAAGCAGCCTCCAGGACACTGCCGAGTGGGCGCAGGTGTAATAGAGGGGCCGTAATAATGCCTTAACTAATAGTTTAGAAGTGTTTGGGTGTAAATTATACTGTAATTGTAATAAAGAGCCCCCCCAAAACGGTATGTTATTCATTCAGGCCCCTGCATTAACAATGCTCGTGGCAACCTAGGATTTAACAAGATCATATGGTTTCTAATGGGTATATAGATACTCATCCACGTATATTCTTCCATGCTGTTTCCAAGCCGCGTTTGCCGGCAACCTGACGTGAGATAACCGCGCCATCAAGGTCATTGGAGTTCTTGAACGTGTTTGAAACCTGCGAGCCTCGAATATGGCCGCATAATTTCCTCTCAAGCTTTTCAGGAGCCAGCTAGGACATGGGACGCCCAGCGCTGGGGGTTTCTTATCTGGTGTGGCACCTGTGTGGATTCTTAGGCGGCTATCTCTCCAGCGATCTGCTTCAGGGATACCAGGTGCAGCGGGAGCTCAAGGAGACCACCGAGACTCTGGCCCGTGCTGCATCGCAAGCGGCGGCTTCTCGCTGTATTGACGCGCTGGAGCAGGTGTGTTGCATAGAAGATCATAAACCACGCTCTGGGCAAAAGCGTCCTGCTGGGCCCAAGCCTTCGGCCTCATCGGACTACGCTTGGGTGTGGGTTTTGGTCGCTACTTTGTGCAACTGGCTTATCGGAGGGCTGGTTTCGCTGTGCTACTTCTGTTGTCGGCGAGTCCCAGCCGTGGTCGAGATTGAAGAAGAAGAGGAGTCGCCTGGCTCCCCGGTGGAGCAACGAGCTTTGGCCCAGCAGCAATTGGCTGCCTTGCGCCTGAGACGACATGACATTGGTCGATCGACGGGTTCTGCTGTTATATGATGTGCCTGGCCCGGCGCTTTGGCATGAGAGGTTAGTACTGCAACATGCCGTCGACGAGGACTACGCGGTGGTAACTCCGGACCGGGACATCTTTGTAGAGACTCTCTCTCTGGCGAATGATGATCTCAGGGGATTGCGCCTTTTGCCCATCGGAGGCGCTATGCCGGTGGGGCTCCGTGGGGGATCGGTGTATCGATTACCGGCCCTCACAGCGCTTGACATTGCTGGCTTCAAGGCACAGGCGGCCCCTGTGGTCGCGGCAGAGCTCGCTTTGAGGATCGGCGGGGCGGCTGCGCCAGCCGCTCCCGTCGCTGCGGCCGCTGGGGCTGATGGCGGCGCCGGGGGTGTGGCTGCACCGGTTGGAGCCGCTGATCCAGAAGACTTTTGCTGGGTGGCCGCGGAGGCGTCCGGGGGCTATAAGTTCGGGGACATTGTTCAAGGAGTCAATGTGGCGGCTGCCGATGGTGCTAAGGCTGTACACATGACGGCTCCGGGGGCAAGTTTGTTCGTCGCATGCATTCGTGGTCGTGATCGGGATGCTTTCCTTCGGCGCCCGGGTGGATGGGATCTTCGTACAGTCGAGCGAGTTGCAGAAGAGCTTGGTCGTTCTGAGGCCCCTTTGAAGGACGTTGTTAGCCAGTGTTTGGAGTCTCCGGTGCAGTGGGGTTTGTCAGGGCCGCGGACTGCCAGGTGGTGCCTCCAATACCTCATTGTCGAGGGGCTGGGACTTGAGGCGCATCATGAGAGGGTCAGACAGCTCTGCAAGGTTGACTCTTCGGCTTGGGGGATTCAGGAACATTGGCAGCTCAGCAACGTGATCAAGCATGCGCTTCAAACCGACCAGCTCAATGGATGCAATTTGCTTTCGCTTGAGGTCATGTTCCGCCGGCTTCAGACGATTGAATATGCTTATAGTGAGAAGGCCAAGGACAGTGAGAGCCGTGCGGTTGGAGGGCGTCTCTCCCTGGAGGAGCAGCAGACCTTCGGGGGCACCACCCGACTTGCCTCTACACTCATGGTTTGTCCGGAGCTTCTTGAGCACGTGAAGGCCGAGGTGGAACGGGATGCTTCTTTGGCAAAGAACCTCCGTAAAGCTCGCGAAGAGCGTGAACTTGCCCGCCGAAACGCCAAGAAGGGCGGCAAGGCGGGCGATGACGGCCAGTGATTGGCCCTGGGCTTGGCACTTGGGGGGATGCCGAGCCTGCTTGATCCACCCCCTTTGCATGATTTGCGGCGAAAACCTCGTGATCTGTTCCCTTTGCCCTTTCTTCAAGAATGTGGCCCTCCTTCGCGAGATGTTGGTCGAAAGTGTCAGCGTCGAGCCCTTCGGAGAGGTCATTTGGTGAAGGAGGCGAACTTGACTATCGCTGCTCTTAATTCAATGTACCAGGCCCCTGCCGAGAAGGACAGCTACTTGCGGGGGTACACTTTTGATGGGGCCTCTGAAGCTCAGCGGGAGGTCCAGGCTTTTGTCTATGACGCCGTTGTTAACATGGGCCAACCACCGGCCCTTTCTCACACAGGGGCGCTTCGGCTGCTCCGTGCGGCGGGCGGGTACACAGACGACCAGGCTGTGGGCACCGTCGCCGGCTATGATCCCGAGAAGGTCTCACTTCCAGAAGCAGGGTGGCAACCTATTCCTCTTTCTGATTTGTGGGGCCCAACCGGGCGGGAACGAGTTCATGACTTCGTTCGGCATCAGCTTCTGCCTCCGGATGAGGCGCAGGAGCAGGTTGCAAAGCTTGGGCTGAAAAAGCTCTACATGGATCCTCGGCTGAAGGATCGCAGGGTTTACACACGTTTTCTTCAGCGCATGCAGGCGTCGCACCTCGTGGATTTCTCTCTGAAAAAGCCCTGCGAGGAGGTCGCCGTCTTCTTCGTGACGAAGAAGGGAGACAGACTTCGATTCATAATAGACGCTCGGAGATCTAACGCTCACTTCCGTCCCCCTCAGTCTGTCAGCCTGAGCACTGCCGAGAGTTTAGGGTCGCTTGAGCTCGAGGGTGGCAAGGACTTAGTGGTTTGTCAGGCGGATTTGAAGGATGCTTTTTACCACCTCGAGCTCCCCTTCCAGCTTCGTGATTACTTTGGACTTCCGGGCGCCCGTGCAAAGGACCTCGGCATCACCACCGTCGGCGGGGTCAGGATCGATCAGGACACCATCGTTTACCCTCGCCTTTCAGTGGTGCCGATGGGTTGGAGCCATGCCCTTTACTTGTGCCAAAGCATTCACGAGTCCCTCGTTGAGCAGGCCGGCCTCGGTGACAGCAATCGGCTGCGTGATCGGCGTCGGGCACCCAACAGCCACTGCGCTCACACTCAGTACGTTGACAACCTTATCGTCATGGTACCGCGGCGGCTGAGGTGAAAAGTCGGTTTTCTGCAGCGGTTCAGTCCTTGAAGAGTGCCGGGCTCCAAGTACATGAGGAGGAGACCTCAACAGGGGATAGCACCGTGCTGGGCTGGGAGTACACCGCGGGTGGCCTTTTCAGGCCCACTCGAAAACGGGCGTGGAAAGCCCGGTGTGCCATCAGAGAGCTTCTTCGACGAGGCAGGGCTCGTGGGGAAGTGGTTGAACGACTGCTCGGCCACCTCACGTTCCTCAGTCTCTGCCGTCGGGAGGCTTTGTCGGTGTTTGGTGAGATTTACAAGTTTGTCAAGGTGCATCGTCGATGCCCAGAGGAGGTTGTGATCCCTAAGAGCGTCTTGCAGGAGCTTCGCAACTGGGATGGGATCCTGCCCTTGCTCTTCAAGGACCTCCGTTGCGAGTGGGCGGAAGGCCTGTCAGCTGTTGATGCGTCCGAGTTCGGGCTCGGCATGACACGGGCCGAGTGCTCGGCGCAGGATGTGAAGAGACTGGGTGGGGTCGCTGAACGGTGGCGCTTCAAGGAGGCACTGCCCAACCCTCGGGCGGCGGCTTTCAGCACAGTGACTAGCCAATGCGAGGTGATGCCGCCCTTCGCCTTTGACGAGGACGAGGAAGAGGATCGCCTTCACCATCGGCGTGATGATCCCCAGTTTTCTCCTGTGCCCTTTGAGGATATCGATCGGGCTTGGACGACGACTGGGATGCATCGATGGAGACGGCCTCTCACTCTTCCTGTCGCTGAGGCCCGGGCTGCTTTGTACGCCGTGAAGCATTGTCTTCGAGCCTGTGGTAGTTTCGGTAAGAAGCATGTTATATTTAGCGACTCTATGACGGCTACTTTGGCAATCTCTCGAGGGCGCTCCAAACATTACCACTTGAGACGCGTATGTCAGCAGGTTGCTTCACTTGCCCTTTGCACCGGCTCTCAGTTCTTCCTGAGGTGGATCCCCTCTGAGATGAACCCCAGTGACAACCCATCACGTGGGGAGTGGAAGCCGTCAGTTCCTAGCCGAGAGCCCAAGGACAAGCTCCTCGGCCATGCTCCTGCGGGGGCTCCTGGGCAACAGTGCTCTCACCGTGGCCGATGGCAGCGTGGCCAAGAAAAGGAAACGGGCCCCTACGACATCGAGGGGGAGATCGACCCCATCCTCGGCCACGGCGGGCCCAGCGCAGGCCTCCCTCCAGCTGGAGACGATCCACAGAAAACTGAAGAAGGAAAGGCGCAGGGCAGCGAGGCAAAGCATGAATCGGTCGTTGGAAAGCCACACTATTCTGCAACAGGCTTCCCTTTTTTCCGAGTGCCTAGCCAGGTACAAGAGACATTGGGAGGAGATGGAGCCCATGATGCTGGATGGACGCGGGCGTCTGCGGCCCCTCGATCAAGCCTTGGCCGAACACCTGGAGGATCTTTACCGGGACGGGGAGGATTTGGCCACGGCGCGGTATGCTGTGGCAGCGGCGCTCTTCTTCAGACCGGAGCTCCGGTCGCCGGCAATGACTCACCTTCCGAAGGTGAAACAGAGCCTGGCTGGGTGGAGCAAGTTGTGCCCTCCCAGGAGTCGCTTGCCCATACCGTACGCAGTGGTGGCCTTGCTAGCGCTGCATGCATTGAGCTTGGGCCTTCTGGAAATCGCAATCTACCTGCTCCTGACTTTTTCTCTGTACATGCGGCCGAGCGAGGGGCTCCGCCTCCGAAAGAAGGACGTAGTGAGGCCCAGCTCACGACAGGCTGGGTTTCAACACTGGTCGGTGGTGCTCCATCCCTTGGAAGTCGGCGTGACGCAGGAGTTCGACGAGTGCCTGCAGTTGGATCTGCCCTACCACCAGCCGTTGGGACCGGCCACTTACAAATTACTGCGGCTACATCAGAAGCGAGGGGAGGAGCACATCTTCACCATCACGCTGGAGAATGTCACCCAGTTCCTCGAGCGGGCTCAGATCGAACTCGAACTCAAGGGTCTGGGGGAGCTGCAACCATATCGTTTGAGGCACGGTGGTGCCAGTCACGACTTCGTCAGCAAGCTGAGGGACCTGGCTTCCATTCAGATGCGGGGAAGGTGGAGATCTCAGAGCTCAGTGCGACGATACCAAAAAGGAGGCCGGCTGACTCAGCTGATGCAGACGTTGCCGCCGCATGTCAAGAGGGCCGCCGAAAGCGCCGTTCGAAAGCTTCCGGCGGCACTTGCTGGCCTGCCTTGAAACGGGGTCTTCCGGATCCACCCGTGTTCATTGAGATCTTTTGTGGCACTGCACGGCTAGCGCAGAGCGTCGCCAAAAGAACCGGTTGGCCTGTATTGCTATGGGACCTAAGCTTCGGTGATGCATACGACCTCCGTCAGCTGCAGGCTCAGCACAAGATCCTTGGGTGGCTTCGGGCAGGACGGTTGCGAGGCGGCCACCTTTGTGTTCCACGGCGTTCTTTCAGTCGGGCTCGTGATCACCCGCCAGGACCAAGGCCGCTACGGAGTGATGCTGCTCCTCTTGGTCTGCCAGGGCTTCCCACTAAGGACTTTGACAAGGTACGCGTCGGTAACACATTGATGCGATTCTCTGTTCGAGTGATGCAATCTGCACTGCACCAGGGCCTCCCTTTCACGCTTGAGAATCCCCGCACATCCAGGCTATGGCTATGCCCTCCTGTGCAGCATCTTTTACGAAAGCGCGGTACCCATACTTACATCACAGAATTCTGTATGTTTGGCACACCGTGGCGCAAATCCACCCAGTTTGCAGCAGTGCATGTTGATCTTTCAGTGCTTCAACATTACCGGTGCCTAGGCTCAAAACGCGGCTGCTGTCGACATTCTGGATGTCGACATGTTGCTCTCTCGGGTCGCAACTCAGAAGGAACTTGGCTCGCGAAAATTGCGGAGCCTTATCCGTGGCAGCTCTGCTCAATCATTGCGCAGTGCTTCTACAACTTCGAGGTCTCGCAGTTAGCTGAATCTTTTTGGAAACGGCTAAACCAGGGAGCAAGCTGATACGGGCTTGGCTGCTATGGGTTGTGGGTTGCAACCTTTTCTGTGCTCTCTGGCGCAAACGCTGGCAGCGGGGGCTTTAACTTCAGAGGCCTCCCTATGCCATCGACGACGCAGAGCTTTACACGTTGCACTCTGGCCAGAAAAAGCGACATTTGCTGAGCGAAGTTTCACGGAAATGCCGACCTATGACCCGTTTCCCCCCGCCCCAACCCCCCCACCCCCACCCACTTCCATTTATACACTCTGCACGGCCAGGAAACTTGGGGCGGGAGGCATCGGTTTTCGACTTGACCTTGATGTTCTCACGCTTTGTGGTTAGCCATGGAGCATAGTCCATGATAAGATGGTAACCGGCATGATGACAACAGAAAGTAAACATGTGCGAAAGCATGCTGTGCTAGCAACTAGTAGCAATCCGAAGCCTTGAACCCAGTCCAGATGCTCAAAACCTAAAAACACGAGTCCCTAAACTCCAGACCCTGAACCCCCAAACCACATGCATGCCTCGCCTGAATTGTCCGAGTGTGAGCGCCGAACCCTACCCCTAAACCCTATAGACCCTAATCCAGTGAACCGGAGAAGCCACGGATCACAATAATAACAATAATAATACCTACTATTATTATTAGTATGATTATTATTATTATCACTATTATTATTATTATTACTAGGCTACTCGTGCTTTTTGCATTCTCACAATGCCTGTTTGGAGCCCTCCTCCGCTCGACAGGAATTAGAGTGTCATTAGTACTGTAATACTACTGTTAGTATTGTTGAAAGCTGGTGCTTCGCAGAGGAAGCCACCGGTTGGGTGCGGCTCTATGTCCCCTTCACAGAAGCTGGAAGGGCTTCGGCATTGTGGGATTTAGGACTCGAGGGTGTAGGGTTCACCGGTGAGGTTTCAGGGCGCGCGGACTCCAAGCTCAAAGTTTAGGGAGCTTAGTGTGTGTTTGTGCGTGTGTGGGTGTGCGTGTGGGTGGGTGGGCTCGTGTTTGCAGGATGTGGACGCGTTGATGCTGCCTATTTGTTTTTGACTCGGCGTTGGCCAGAGTCACCATGGCAAGCACACTCCTTTCGTCTATATTGCTGTATCATGTCCTCTATTTTTAGTGGCCCCACAGGCCTGTTTCTCCGAAGTTGGAGACCCAACTTGCAGCCAGCAAGCGAAACACCCCGAATGCCCTTCGGTAGCACCTTTCATTCTGTTTCAGGGTTGCTCTGGATCCCCAGTACCCTTTTGCCCTGTCGTGAGGAAAAAGTGCAGCCTTTATTCTATGCTGTTTTGGTCGTGCACCCTATCAGTTCTGGCACTCTGCATTCAAGGTCTTTCTTCACTGCAACAGCTTAAGAGCTCCAGCTGCCTAATGTACTTAAATGGTCACTTACCGGTCGTGTTGGGCCACCTTTAGCAAGCCCAGTACGCCTTCATTTCAGGTAACTGGACCCTTTGGTTGGGACCATAGGATGCACAGCCATCGTTACGGGTTGGTTGGAGATCAATGTTGAAAACAGCACGACATGTCTTTGCAGAGCGCATACGGGGGCAAGCCAGCTTATGTATGTTCTTCTCGTGCAAGAACTTTCAATTCTCTTGAGCCCTTACATCCCAACAAGCCCAGCCCAATGTCATCAGACGATACCTCTGGGCCCAGAGCTTTGCAGAGCGCATACGGGGGCAAGCCAGCTTATGTATGTTCTTGTCGTGCAAGAACTTTCAATTCTCTTGAGCCCTTACATCCCAACAAGCCCAGCCCAATGTCATCAGACGATACCTCTGGGCCCAGAGCATGTAAAGCCCGGTCAAACTGACGAACATCTCTATAGGGGTTGGGGGTTATATCATATTTTAAATGTAATACGGAACCCCAAAGAACCTATTTAAAATTGTTCAGGCGCCCACAATAACACTCAACCTCCAAAGTGCCATCCTGCGCGCCTCCAGCCTTACATGTGGGGAGTTGCCAAAATAATGATCCCTTTTTGGGTACCCTAAAACATAGGTGCCGTATTGTATGAAGGACACAAAAGGGACCCGAATTTTGACAAGCCCCCATATGGATCTCTTAACCTTTGGCTTTCAAGTTTATGCCCTATAACCCCTATTAACATTCGGGTCACAACCTTCTTTTCGTACGGCTTGGTGACGTGCTGCAGGTGAACCGTTTTGTCCCTGGAGCCCCAAATCCCACAACCTCAAACCCTAAGTGCCAGAACCCTGAGTCCTAAAACCAACCGCGTGCGCCCATCTTGCAGCCGTGGCTCAAAGGGAGCTGCCACGATGACGCTCTGCCAGCTAAATGGAGGCCTCCCTGACGTACCCACATAGATAGGGTCTATCTGTGTGATTGCGGTAGGCACGTCATGCTATATCCCCCCAACATCTGTACCTAGGTCCCTTCGGGAGCAGAAAACTTCGGATGCACAGAGGTGTGGGGTGTCTTCAGTTTGCAGTCCAGCGTTTGAGAGTTCAAAAACGATGTCATTGCTCCTCCAACCATCATTCGAACCTGAACCCCAGCTCAAGCGGCAAATGTTAGCCTCAAGTTTTGCTGTGCTCTGTGGAAACTGACAGCAATCGCCCTCAGCCCCTTTCCTTCGCTTGTACACTCCGAAAGCTCTACGCACCCCGGCCGCCCTGCACTCTGTCAGAGTCCTGCAGGCACAGAGAACTCCCAAAGCCCCTCAGTAGTCCGAGGTCCGAGGTATGCGTTGCTGAAGCCCCAGTTCATTAGACCGTAAGTCCAAGACCAAGACGGCCGTCGACGCCAAACTTTAAACCCCAAACTCTCAACATTATGCTTAGACGGAATGCATCAGGCGTTGACAGCCTGTGGGCTGAACCTTACGGACACAATGAGAAAGGGTGTCTTTGCTTGAAAGCACCTGGCAAAGCACCGACATCCAAACTTTAGTCGTGCTAGAGGTTAACGCCCCTACATACCCCGACAAAGCTCGTAATCCCCACATGCATGGCTTGGGGTAATTAAGGGGTTAAGGTTTGGGGATCACAAGGTGGGCCACCGAGGGACGGTAAAGCATGGCAAACTCCCTTGCATGTGGGATCCTTTTTCTGCAAATTCTCCGAGGTTTCTAAGTCGGTTTCGGGTTCACCGTGAGAAGCGACGACATTCAGGGGTTTAGGGAGGTTGGGAATTGTGGAATTTCGACCATGCGCCCTGATTTTGCTTGCACCGGTACAAATGTCTGTTTCACAACCTCCGGCCCATGCATCATCTTGAAAGTATCACCGCTGGGGATCTGCTTCAAACCCTGTGGAACAGCTGCGAAGCCCGTGCCACCACAAGCTTATGGCCTTAAATCACAGATTGGCTTACGACTGCATGTACCCATATCCAACCCGAAGGAGACTTTATAGAACCCTGTAACTTCTTTCAGAACCTTACGGATCAAGGGGCGTTTCTACAACTACATGATGCTACATCTAGCCCTTACAAAAGCAAGCCTTCAGCCTTACAGAATATGATGGGTCAAAGGTTGGCGTACAACGACATCCAATCCTACATAAGCCTGCAGGACCTTTGGACCACAACCCCGTTTCTTACGAACTTATGGATCCAAGGCTGGCTTACGATTACATGTGACCCTGACCTACCCTTACATAGAACCCTCTGGATCAAAGGTTGGTTTGCAGCTACACCTGGCCCTAGCAGAGCCATAACAAACTTGTCGAACCTCATGGGTCAAAGGTTGGCTTACGACTACATCTCCACAAGTGACGTGAGCGGCGAGGTGTGCGACTGCCGTTTATTGAGCATTCGGCTCACCTTCTTTAGGCTTTTCGGATTCCTTTCAGTGGCCCTTGTCGGGATCCAATGGGTGAAAGGTTTCTATTGGGGTGTGTAACAGCTTAGAGTTCAGGGCTTGGGATTCAGAATTTCGGTTGCGAGTAGTGAGCTGATGGCTTATGGGTCAGGATTCCGGTTGTGATTAGCCAGAGTGCGCAGGATGACAGCGAAGGGGTGTAAATACGAACCATGTGGCTTTCTTGTTTTGCACCGTTCAACTAATTCTCGTCTTTGTGGATCTAGCTCTGAGAGGAAGTAGTATGCTAATGGATGCCAAGCTTAGACTGATTTGCCGGGGTTGCTACAGACCTCAATATGCGCCTCTACCTGCGTAACTGCCCAAGTTCTGAGAATCCCAGCAACCATTAAAAGTCTCCACCAGATTGTATTCTGCATCACAGACGCGGCACCG